GTTCTCAACCTACGGGTTGTGACCCCTTTGGGGATCAAATGACCCTTCCACAAGGGGTCACTGAAATATATCCTGCATATCAGATATTTAAGTTACAATTTGTAACAGTAGCAAAATTACAGTTACAAAGTAGCAACTAAAATAACTTTATGGTTGGGGGTCACCACAACATGAGGAACTGTATTACAGGGTCACAGCATTAGGAAGGTTGAGAACCACTGCTCCACAGGAAAAATGGAACTCTTAAGTCACCCATGTGTCCTCTGCAGTCAAGACAAACCCAATATTCATCTGTAACTGAACCCTTCCCACTGCTGGCTGGTACAATCAATAAGAAAGTAAAATCACAGAAATAAAGAGCTGAGGCCTCCAGCCCAGGGCAACCTCTCTTGCCTTGTTGACAAGGATGCTCAGGGCCTCGCCCAGGGCAGACACAGGCCCCTAATTAAAGCCTCTGTTTTCTACCCACCCTCAACCCGCCCTCTTAATTAGAGGGCCGCCTTTTCTGCCCCACACATAAGTAAATCTAAAGTGAGTAGAAGTAATCTGGGGAAAAAAACCTAAGAAAATCCTGAATTTCATTTTTTTTTCAGAACGGCACATAGAATAATGTTTAGGAATTTGGGGCTCTGGGATCAAATGCCAGCAGGGTCAGTTCCCAGCTTCAGCACTGGCTTATTATGGGACCTTGGGCCAACTGCTGAAACTTTCTGTTTCCTTATTTGTTAAGTGGGATAATAAAAATACCTCCTCAGTGAGTTACTGTGTAGAATAAATGGGTACAGTACAGTACAGTACTTAGAATAATCACTGGGCATTGTAAATGCCCACTGTATGTAGGCCATTATTATTTCACATAAAAAGAATGCTTTAAGGAGGTTTAATTTTTATGATTGCTTAATTTAGTTTAATCCTATTACCCCCAACGAGACCATGGCTTTGTGATACTAATTTTTGATTAACCATTACTTGGTTATGCTTTTGTTTCTAAAAATCATACACAGGAAGGGTAAATTGTATAATATATGAATTACATCTCAACAAAGCTGCTGAAGAAAAGAGCACACAATAAAAGTCTAGGTTAAAATTAAAATGATTCTTGAGAATCATGAAATCCAGTGTTTACCAATTTTTTGGTAAAATACACATTATGAAATATCCCTTTCTATTTTGATCAGAAGATACATATAGTCATATACCAAAAATCCAGAAATGCTAAAATCCACGTGGATGGAAACTAATGAAGCCTTCCAGGCAACAGTGATAAACTGAGCCAGATGAAACTCACAACAGGTGAATCAGAAAGGACAGTGAGACTATTTCTAGGAAATGAAATAATGGGCCATAACACAGTCTACCTCCAAACTTTCATACTGATCTACGCACATGCCCACATACATGAATATACAACTAGCTAAAGCTGTTAAAAACATCTATATCATTACAAATAAAAAAAAATTACATAATCACTTATGTGATTCTCATGTAGTATAAAGAAATACTAGATTAACTCAGAAAACTGTTTCAAATGTTCCACACACTGGTTCTCAAATTAGACTGCCATAAGCATCGTTAAGTGGTATTAAAATCATATTACAAATAATTGCTTACAAGTGCCAACATTTAAACTGGTATGCTTGCTCTAGAAACAAACTTGAGTAAAGATTATCCCATCCACAGCCCATTTTACTGACAGCCTAATACCTCTTTCAGGGGGGTTTTTAAAGTGTGCGTCTATAACCAAGACAGCAGGAATTGCACCTGCTTGTGGCCTGTGAGGTCATGTAGCAACAGGAATAATCTGCCCTGCGTGCTGCTCTGCAGATGGCTTGGAGGCAATGCCTTGATTTCAGGGTTATCTGTGTCTGCCCTTTTCAATCTACGTCTTGCTTTCACATTTATGCACTACCGCCTCTAACAACCCTAAGTTAGATCTTGGAAGAAAACCATTCTTACTGTATCACAAACGTCTGCTAGCAAACAACTTGCCGGCATACTCACAGGTTCCACAAACTCAAACTTCTTTCTCTCTTGGATTTCCTGAAGCTTGCACACATATTCAAGAGACAGTTCATAGAAGTGCTGCCGGTTTTGCTCCACTTGGATATCTGCCTGTGTTAAAATAATTGAGGTTAGTCAAACTGGAGGGAGTGAGAAGGGAAACTGTATCAGGGCTCGGCAAAACATCATCCTCGAGCCAAATAATGTCACGCTGCCGGTTTCTGTAAATAAAGTTGTATCGCATATAGTCACACCCGTTCGTTTACGTACTGTCTGTGGCTACTTTCCCGCTACAACAGCAGAACTGGGCAGCTGCAACAGGGACCTTATGGTCCACAAAAGTCTACAATATTTACCGTCAGATTCTCTGCAGAACAAGTTTGCTGACCCCTGCTCTGGACGTTGGGCTTCACCCCCGAGGACTGAAGGCCAGGCAGGCTCTCTTCGTGGAAAACTTCCCCCAACCACAACTGTCACACACATAAACTCACAATCACATAAACGGCCCTTCCATGAACAAATCCTCTAAGAACAAAGACTGGCTGAGAGAGAGGGCTGGAGAAATTCCAGTCACCGCAGCAATTGGGGAGTAACGGAGCAGGTGAGGAAGCGGCCACCGTGGCAGCATCTCAGGACCTGGTTCTGGATGGTGGGCCAGGGCTGGCCGCCCATGTGCAGGTAGCCCTGGCCCTCACAATATGTCTGATACCCTGGGGGTGAAGGGGGCACCTGCTGGTCAGGAAACTAATCCAAAAATAAGTTGCAGCTTAGTTTGCCTAACTAGAAAGGAAGTGGGAGAAAAACATGATTCCACAGAGGAACAGTGGAGAAAGAACGCACATCTCCGAAATTATTCTTACAAGGGACCCTGCAATATTTTTCCTAACTTAGTTTTACTCTTAAAAGTAATGTATCTAAGCATTTCTCCAGAGAAGATACACAAATGGCTGACAAGTACACGAGCAGATGCTCAACATCACTACTCATTAGGGAAATGCAAATCCAACTCCCAGTGAGACACCACTTCATACCATGGGGATGGGAGGCAGAGGAGGAGAGGGACGAGAGGGACAGGAGGGAAAGGGAGAGAAGAGGAGGAGGTGGAAGAAAAGCAGTTACCAGTGAAAGTATGAAGAAACTGGAACCATTACACACCACAGGTGGGAATGCTAAGATGTTACAGGTTCAGTGAAAAACAGAACGAAGGCTCCTCAACAAAGTAAAAATAGAATTACTGTATGACCCAGCAATTCAACTTCTAGGTACCTACCCAAAGAACTGAAAGCAGAGACAGATACCCAGAACACACAATATCCAAAGGGTGTCCACCCAAGTGTCCATCAGCAGATGAATGAATAGATAGCAAAATGCAGTACAATGTATACATAAGTATACAATGGAATATTATTCAGCCTTAAAAACGAAGGAAGTTGGGCAGCGCCTGTGGCTCAAGGAGTGGGGCGCTGGCCCCATATACTGGGGGTTGTCAGGTTCAAGCCCAGCCCCGGCCAAAACTGCGAAAAAAAGGAAGTTCTGACATGGGCTAACTTTGGATTCTAACACGGATGAACTTTGAGGACATTATGCTAAATGAAATAAATCACACACAGAAAGACAAAGACTGCATGATTCCACTTATAGGAGATACCTACATAGTCAAATCCCTAGAGGTAGAGAGTAGAATGGTGGTCACCAAGAGCTGGAGTGAAAGGAAAATGGGAAGTCATCATCCACCAGGTACAGAGTTTCATCTTGGGAAGATAAAAAGTCCTGGAGACGGGTGGTGGTGATAGCTGCACAACAGTGCAGATGTATTTTATGTCACTGGACTATACACTTTAACATGGTTTAAATCATAAATTACGTATATTTTACAACCAAATTGTGTAAGTTTGGGGATGGATATTTAACATGTAATAAAAAACTTTTAGCATCACATGCTTTAAGTAAAACGTAACAAGAGCATTACGAAGCTGAGAATTGCTACCTACCACTCCTCAAAACCATGGTATTCTTGTGCCTCCCATAATCAGAGCTCAGTAGTTCGGCCACCAGCAGTTAATTGGCACAACTCCCAGCTAAAACATTATAATTTTGTGGAGTCGTTAATAAAATAAAGACACAAGCAGGGTAGTTCCTCTATATTTTTATTACTAGGAAAGGCCAGCCCTTTAGGAAAATTATGCCATTACCAGATATACAGAGCTGGTTTTATCTTTTAGTGGGGTCTCTCTCCCCATTGTTCTCAGCTGCAATGGCCCTTGCTTTGCAGGTCAGCCTCTATCACCACCCCCTTGACGTTCTGCAAATCCAGAACTGCCAAGCCTGTGCTTCCTGAGTAAATTATCAGGATCCCTGGGAACCTCAACAGCCCTAACTTACAACAATGCCAGGAACACCCACATTGTGCCGTGGGGCACAAAATTCTTTCAGCCTGACCAAGTCTAAAAGGCAATCACTATACTTCTCCCTACACTAAGAAAAAGTCATTAGTTTATCTAATTTCTGGTCATTCCTGCTATAAATATGTATAAGACAGTAGATCAGTCTTGCACAAAGTTATTGAAAGAATCTATTTCTTTAGTCGTATTTATACTGAAATAATATCGTTTGGTTGCTCCAGAAGGAAAAGTAGACTTTGAAAGTCAACAGAAATGGAATTTTCTCTAATATCCAATGCTCGTTATATTACAAATGTGAAGTAGAATTTAGGGACGTGGATGGAAGTTGAAGCTACTATGTGTCTTAGAGTTATAACAGCAGGAGTACCAAAATAGCCAGCTTAGAGGATGCTACAATTTCTCCTCTTATTTTGATTAGAAGCAGGAGGACAGAATGAATTATGTTCCCCAGCCTTTGTTCAGTACTATTCTCTGCAACCTCTACTAATCTCTTGAGTACTTAATTCACTAAAAGTAAGCAATACTTTAGCCACTGACAATAGAAATGAATACCAAATCTAACTTTTTCCTCCTTAAAAACCATTCCCCTTCACTCTTTCTGAATTGTTTCAAGTCGGAATTTGTATGTTTGTAAAGAGCAAACATAGCATGACAGAAAAGTATATGTAATTTAAACTGAAATTATTTGCTCTTTCCAAATTTCTGATTCAAAGTTTAATTATCTCTGGAGTTAATGTAATTGCCAAAGCCTGGCCGGAGGTGGTAGCTCGTACCTATAATTCTAGAACTCCAAGAGGACTACCTGAGCTCAGGAGTTTGAGACCAGCCCAAGCAAGAGCAAGATTCTCCATCTCTACTAAAAGTAGAAAAATTAGCTGGGGGTGGCAACTGTGGGTCAGTGAGTAGGGCGCCAGCCCCATATACTGAGAGTGGTGGGCTTGAACCCGGCCCCGGCCAAATTGCAATAAAAAGAAAAACTAGCTAGATGTTGTAACAGGCTCCTGTAGTCCCCAGCTACTTGGGAGGCTGAGGCAGGAGGATTGCTTTGAGGTTGCTGTGAGCTATGATGATGCCACAACACTCTACCCAGGGCAATGGAGTAAAATCTGTCTTCAAAAATAAAAAGAAAGAAAGAAAGAAAAATAGAATACTTGAAAGCATAAGGTATGTGGATTAGGGTTGTTAAAAAAAATTTTTTTAGGCAGAAGGAAGAACAAATGCAAAGGCCCTTAGCATGGAGTATGTTGGCCCAGGCCAGGTGGGACACCTAGGAACTTGGGGGCTCTGGGACCCCTGCAGGTAGCCATCAAGAGGGCATGGAGAAGAGGGGGCCATGACAAGTGGCACATTCTGAGCATATTGTGGAGCGAAAGAAAATATATGCTGATGGACTAGGTGACTTCAGAGCTTTTGCTCAAAAGCAGTGCTCAAAATGAGATGCCTAATTAGAAAGTGAAGCAGAGATGGAAAGGTACTTGGAAAATGAAAATCCTCTTTAGGATACCTGACAATAGAGATAAAAGAGAACAGAGCTAGGAAACTGCTAGCATGAAGAGCGGGACCTACATATAAAAGCCACAGCTGTCATTTCAAAATTGACAGAGGGGGAGAGAAGAGGCAGAGAGAGGATGATGTAATAATTGCACAGTGTTCGACATAACACGGAACAAAGAGAGAACAGAGCCCTACCTAGGGCATTGTAGTGAGGAGGATTAAGTGGTATAAAAGCTCCATTCTCTTACAAACTGTCAAGCACCATCCAAATGTCAGTCAAAGGTATTAGGGAGACAAAAGAAAATGTCACATGCAAGTAACATCAAACCAACCACACACCCCCACCCCGTGCCTGCATGTACACACACACCTTATGCAACTAAGTATCTGACTTTTAAAATTAACTCAGGTTTATACTAGAAACAATGCTGCTGGTGTCATTTTGATGAGTCTTCAGTAAGCATATGTCACAGTAGTACACAATGCCCAGATTCCTTATGCGTTTAAAAATAAAAGGGGAGAGGGAAGGTGTTATAGTTTTGTGGCACAAAGACAAGATCCTAACAATTATAAACAGCATTATTTTTAATAAAAGCATATGTTCCAAATTGTCAACAATTCACTTTCTATTCAAGTGAAAAAAACACATGGCAGATTTACTAAGAAATAGAAAGAGAAAATGAAAAGTAAGATATAAACCCCTTTCTCCTTACATGGCGTTCTCTCCAAAAGAAACGAGTCTATTAAAACAAGTAAGACAGATGCTGTCTTTCCAAAGAAGCTGAACCTCCTGGGTCCTCAGCTTTAAATAAGATTAATGCTGCCTTCACTTCAAAGCAAAATGGTATATGAGCTTGTTAAATTCATTTACTCAAGAACTCTTGAAAGCCAATTAATGGTTCTATTTCCACAAATAATATATCTATTCCTGTGAAAAAATTCTCAGAACCAAAAGTTTACTTCGATGAATCTGTATTGAATTCTATATTCAATCACTAAGACTGAACGTCTTGTTTCACAAGAACTTTTTTCTTGATTTATGACAGTGACTGCTCTTTTTCTATCTCTATATAGTAAAATTTTTTGAAAGTAAAGCACATTTTTAAAAAAGACACGTCCTGCTTATCAAGCTGTAGGAACAACAGAAAAATATAAAGAATACCTCTTGTAAATGTGAGTCTTTCTTTTTCGCTGATAAGTTCAAATGTTTATCAATTAGACTATAATTCTTTTCTGTCTCTTTGTCAAACTTCTTTTTTTCTTCCTACAAATAAAAAAAAACACAGACAACAGTGATTAAACAGAAAAAAGGGCATATATAGTTAACCCACGGGAAGCTCAAAATATAAAAAGTATCTCGAAATAAAACTAAATACCACTGAATGTAATGAAGCTATCTAAAAATTCATATCTATATCTAGCTTACTGCTTATTAATCATCAAGACAGCATGAGAATTGAAGAAACATTTCTCTTTTTTCCTTTAATGGACTTTTTTCCTGTGCTATTTTTCAACTCTTTGTACTTAACAGTGTTAAGAATTAATACTATGTTGCTCATCTCTCCCAGAAAGGAAAAAATACATAAGGATATAAAGCTCAAAAAAGCAAACTTGCTCCCAATTTTGGCATAGAAATGGAATTCATTTAAAATGAAATAAGAAGTTTTTCTCTAGATTAAAAAAAATTCATAATATGCAACCACTATTAGAAAAAAGTATTGCCTCGGCGCCTGTGGCTCAAACAGCTAAGGCGCCAACCACATACACTTGAGCTGGCGGGTTCGAATCCAGCCTGGGCCCACCAAACAACAATGACGGCTGCAACCAAAAAATAGCTGGGCGTTGTGGCGGGTGCCTGTAATCCCAGCTACTTGGGAGATGGAGGCGAGACAATCACTTGAGCACAGGAGTTTGAGGTTGCTGTGAGCTATGATGCCACAGCACTCTACCCAGGGCAACAGCTTGAGGCTCTGTCTCAAAAAAAAAAAAAAAAAAAGTATCTTGGGAAAGATATTCTTCCCTGATTCAAAATGAAGATGGATTGAGTACCCTTCATCTGAAATGCTTAGAAACCACAAGCGGTTTAGATTTCAGATTTTTTTTTATATTTGCATATATATAAAAGGAGAATCTTGGGGATGAAACTCAAACCTAAACATGAAAAGTATTTGTGTTTCAGATGCAACTTAAACCCATTACCTGAAACTAATTTCAGGCGATATTTTTATTTTTAATAATTATGTACATGAAACACAGTTTATGTACACGGAACCATCAAAAACCCAAGAGTCATGTGGAATTCTCCCCGGGCAGCGCCACTCCAATGCTCAAAGTTTCAGATTGTGGAGTGCTGCAGATTTCAGGTTTTCAGATGAAGGATACTCGACCTGTGTAATAATAAGATCTCTGACTAGAAATGTCATCTACTCTCCCCAAACAGACCATGATTTCTGTAACACTAGTTAGAGTATGTATCAATAGGTCAACAGGGCCTGAAATAATATTGACACACTAGTACTGTGATCCTTTGGTTAACATCACAAACATTTCTCCAGTCCTGCCTAGTCCTTTTGCTATAGACGTCTTTTAAATAAACAAGAAGTCAAACTTTTAAATATAGGGAAGACAGGCTTATTCTCCCTAAAGCTGCTTGCCAAGTTGGTAGATATGTAATAAACATTCCTGACTATCAGTGAGAACACACTATGTCCTCAAGCTCAAATGCGTCCAGAAACTTCAAACCCTTCCTAACTCTCTATACCCCTGAAAAATAACATTTTTCTATCTTCTAACGGAAAAATCATGAGTTATTCCAGCCTTTTCTGATACGATGTTTTTTTCCCTATTAGGCAGCAGAGATTAAATGAAGCATGTTAATTCCCAATTTATTTGTCTTTATCTTTCCCCCCCACTACATGAGACCAGGTGCTGTTGTTTTAGAAAGCTAGGATAGTCTGTCCTCCGCCAGGTTCTAAAGATCCTAAATGAATCCTCACATTGATGAAGACAGACTCAGGAACTAGGGTTTCTTCCCATTTCTACTCTGAATCTAATTGCCAACTAGCTATACAACTTCACAAAAGACCTTTATCAAAAACATCAGGGGCATTTTTTGTAGTAGCTCATTCTTGGACCCAATCCTCAAATTCTGTAATCCTATGGTTCACCTACACGTGAGAAAGCACAAACACCAAAAAGAAAATAAAAATTAGGCAGAGTTTTAACCTCTTGTTTCCTTGAAATAAAAGGACTTTAGTTTTCTCTATGCCCTAGGTTTTTCTTAATGTACAAAAGTTTATAAAAATCTAGGGTATTATACACAGGTACGCTCTTTCTGGTTTTTATTATGCACTTCAGCTATTTTAAAAACAGAAAATAAACTATAACAAATAGATGTCCATCACCTAAAAATTTCACTATTTTAAAAAGTTCGTATTGTGAAGCACACACTAAATTCAGTGTCAGAAGACTGGAGTTCTAGCCTGGCCACCTAGTACTCTATGACTCTGTCAGGGTCACAGCCTTCTCTCAGTGTTAAATTTCTCAGGTATAAACAGAACAGGAATGGAAGTGGGCCTGAGCACTGACCACTGATTGCTGCAAAGCAATTATCATACACTGAGAAATGTTTACGGCTTAGTGCCTGTGGCTCAAGTGGCTAAGGCGCCAGGCACATACACCTAAGGTGGCAGGTTCAAATCCAGCCTGGGCCCGCCAAACAACCATGATGGCTGCAACCAAAAAATAGCCGGGCGTTGTGGTGGGTGCCTGTGGTCCCAGCTACTTGGGAAGCTGAGGCAAGAGACTTGCTTGAGCCCAGGAGTTGGAGGTTGCTGTGAGCTGTGATGCCACAGCACTCTACCTAGGGGGATAGCTTGAGGCTCTGTCTTAAAAAAAAAAAAAAGAAAAAAGAAAGAAATGTTTACTACCTGGGCAGTGCCTGTGGCTCAGTGGTAGGGCTCTGGCCCTATATACTAAGGGTGGCAGGTTCAAACCCAGCCCCGGCCAAACTGTAACAAAAAATAGCCGGGTGTTATGGTAGGTGCCTATAGTCCTAGCTACTCGGGAGGCTAAGGCAAGAGAATCGCCTGAGCCCAAAAGTTGGAGGTTGCTGTGAGCTGTGATACCACAGCACTCTACCAAGGGTGACAAAGAGAGATTCTGTCTCAAAAAAGAAAGAAAGAAATGTTCACTACCTTTACAAGCTAGCACTAATCAGGAATACTGAAAACACTTTTACTCAGTTGATTTCATCTGAATCACAGAAAGGGACAAAGGAAGGGTGATGCTGCAGTCAGAACACCCAGCACACGTGGGACCTGCAGGGTGTGCAAATTAACACGTGGGTACAGTTGGGTATGAAAAAAGACAGAGACACAGAGACTTTGTGAATAAAGAATTTAGCCAAGGAACAACATGACACCCACCAATTTTCGAATAGAAATACATCTGTTCACACTTGGTATGATATTATACAAATGCTGCTGTGTTTTATTTTTGAATCTTAAGACTTAATTTCTTTTGCACGTGTTCTTAATGACATTACAGAATATGATTCTGTTTCTTCGTGTTCATATGATGTTCTGTGCTGAAATAACACAAATTTTAAAGGAGACTATTCAAGTAGCATTCAAGAAAAAAAAAAAAATGGAGCTCTCCACCCCAACACTGCGTTAGGGCAATTATACATAATGTTAATTCAGCAGCCTAACCTAAATAATTTCATCAAAGAGCAAGTCAAATACCATGTGAAATTTTTTCTTATAAATCAGACATTCCAAACTCAAGTCAGTCCGGGCCAGGGTACTGAGTGAGGCAAGGTGGGAGAGAAATGAAAAGACAAGTATTTGGGCAATGAAAAACCAGATAGCCCGTGTCTGCTCCACAGGGGGAGGTGGCAGTAACTCAGCCCCACTGGGCTCTGCCATGTGGGAACACAGGCCCATGACCTAGGCTGTGTCTTCTGATTTTTCTAGGATAACTAAAAACCCAGTAATTGTTTTTAAATGGTGGCAACATCATTTTTCAACAATCTGAGTAAGCCAAACAAAATTTATGTTTACAGGTTAAATATGACTCACAGAAAGTCAGCTTGTAATCTGCTTAAAATTGCACATGCAAAAAAAAAAAAATCATAAAAAAGAGTTACTGTTTAAAAAGACATAATGGGTCCAATAAGACATACATTACATAAATAGTAGCGAGAATTCAGGAACCTAAAAACCACAATTCAAATAATCTGATCTTTTACGTCGGATATAAAAATATATTTGTCATCACAACCTATTTGTGATGTCTTAAAAAAAGAAAATATTCAATCAATGGTGCTGGTACAATTGTTTAACTACTAGGAAACAGAAAGAAAACTCCACCTCCTATCAAAATTAATTCCAGATGGGCTGAAAGAGTCACCAGTAAAAAATGAAGCCTTAGAAAATAATAAGAGAATATTTTCATCAGATATTACAACAGAGAAAGACCTACTCTAAGCAACAAAGAAACAGAAAAAGGCCATAAGTATGTCTAAATATCAAAAAATACACAATAATCAAGCTGAAAACCTGTTTTGCAAGTTGCAGAGGCTCCAGCCGTCAGCAGCAGAGCAAGACCCTGTCTCTACTAGAACAAAGTAGGGGGAAGAGTGCAACCAATGTGTGAGAAAATAAGTAAACATTCTTAACACATAAAACATTCTTCATGGAGGAATTTTTTGCTAAAAGCACACATTAATACTTCCACTGAGAAATAAAGAACACAAAGAAATCTGTAAAGTTTGAACATAATTGTAAATCGGGCACTTTTCCATGGGGTACTAGATTGTTTTGTTTTAGAAGAGAAGAACTTTGTAAGGTTTACTGGATAGATTTTCTTGAATTTTCTATATTTTATAATTTTTGTAGCATGAAGAAATGAAAAGGGCTTATTTTCAAACTATCAATATTAAATAATATTTAGTGGTTTACTGCTCTAGAAAAGAATTTAAATACAGCAGGTTCTTAAATAATATCCTTGTGTTCTTGTGTTGTAACATTGATGAGGAAGAAAAAAAAAAGACAGATTCCCAGCCAGGGTCCCCTGTCTGTGTGAGTTTTCTCCAGTACTCTGGTTTCCTCCACATCCCAAAGCCGGGCTCCTGAGGTGAACTGACACTTCTACACAGTCCCCGAGTGAGTGACTGTGGGTACAGGATGGCATCCTGGTCTGGGTAGGTTTCCACCTTGTACCTTGAGCTGCTGGGAGAGGCCCTAGCCATCTGCAACCCTG